TTATCCTTAAAACACGATAAGAAGTGCAGACTTGAAGTAAATTTTTGAGAAACCTGACAATCTACCGGTTTTTACTAGATAAGTGTTTAAAGGGGCGATTTTCCGTGTCCTTTTTTCTCGGTGGATCAGGTCGGAGTACTTGAGGAATAGAAGATCTCAGAAACAAAGTTATAAAATTCTGGAATAGGTAGAGGTGTGAAAATGAGCACTTTTTGCCAGTGAACAGATAGTTGGAACTCGCATATAACGGAGTGTTATGCATTTATATGTATGATATTTATTCTGAGACATCTCTATAAACACTTTTAAAATTAATATTTATTGTTTATAAAATAGATTTAAGAATAAATGTAAATATAGCATTTGGAAAAGTATTTTTATTGCTTTAAAATTATGTTAATTCGCTGCGAATTGTTCCTTCTATCGTACGCCCTTAATTCCCATGTGCCTCCGAAATATCGGCGGCCTGGCTAAATATAGGTATTTATGAAGGTATCAGAGTTCAATCTCGTGTACCGTCGTTGGCAAACAGAAGCCACTCTCGTGCTGCGAAGGCGGGCGGGGCGTGCGTCACGGCGTCTGCAGGCACGCCTCTCGAGGTGGGCGTGCCCTGAGGCGAGCGGCCGATAGTGGCCACGCCCTCTATATAAAACAATCTGACGGCTATTGTGTCCGCGAGAGGAGATGGCCCGTGGATTCGTGTTACAGGCGCGTTGGGGCAGATTTCATTACCTGGGGCTCCATTTCCCGTTAGAGTTGGTGTTGAAGGAGATGTTTGCTTCTTCGTAAAGGAAGAAGTAAATATGTCCTTCGCTTCGAAAGGAGGGAACTAATTCAATTTCCAGGACTTCTCAAGAGTTAGGAAGCATATATAACGATTTATTATGAGTATAAAACGATACAGGATTGTCTGTGTGTGTTGCGAGTGTTCTCAACAATTTATGTGATATTAAGCGTACGGAACAATGGATATTATAGAATGCAGTAGGTTCAAATGTCACTCTAATTTCACAACGTGTGATGTAGAAATTTATAGACGAATTGCTTTGGTATGGAATAATCCTTTATACTTCTAGACAAAACTCAAAAAATTGGGACGAAGAAAATAAAATAGGATTGTTGTGTTCTAACAGTACTACTGTACGGAGCTCAAGCCTGGGCCCTGTCAGAAAAACTAAGAAAGAAGATTATTGTTTGTCAAAGCAGGATGGAAAGAAAAATCCTACATGTACGGATCCAACTAAAAATAACAAACGAAACAATACGAAAAATTGCCGAAATAACTGATATTCAATCAATGGCGAATAAATCGAAATGGAAATGGGGAGAACACGTTGCCAAGGTGGAGGCAGCAGATGGGCCCACCAGGCGAGATCCGTAAGACGGGAGTGTGGGAAGACCGAAGACACGATGGTGCAGCGAAATACAGTGTGTAAGAGGAGCACGGCTGCCACAAGGTAGATTATGGTGGAAGAAACCGAGCCCCAATTTGTGAGTGATAAAAGTGAGTAATAAATTTGAATTGAAGTTGAAGTGAAATAGGATTGAATACATGCAGATGAACTAAGTACAATTTCAAAAGATTAAGCAAATAATAATTGTTTTTGGCTTTTATAGTTTTAATTATTTTAATAATTATTGAATTATCATTAGTGCTTGTGTAAAAGATTATTACAGTTCACTTATAGCTCACATAAGTTCAAAAATTGTGATGAAGATAAACACATACTACCAACTCATATCATCAAATGTGGCTGCTCGGGTAGTTACTCACAATGGCGACTCTTGATTCCGTTGAACAGTTGTACAACGCCCAGAGCATCGAAAAATATTATTGCTGCAAAGTTAATGTACATTAAATCATTTTAAAACTAAAAAGCATACAACTGGTGCTCTTCGGTGTCTGGCGTTTTGGCAGGTATTACACCAAGCTCTTGACTCTTGTCAAAAAGATTTTGAATAATTACTTCTAATATTTTCAAGGAAGTGTTGTGAATTGTTTCTAGAAATGTCTCCATAATTCTGAATAAATCTTATACAAATATTTTTTCAATATCAATTGCACTGTTTTAAAATTTTGATACTGTGCTAGTACATTGGAAGATAATTTTATACATTTTAAACAAATAAATACGTTTCGTTAACGACTTTCTCTCTTAAAATAGAAAGATAGGAATTAGTGAGGGTTTAACATCTGAGAGATCTCGCACGGGTACGCGGAGGAAGTAGAGGAAAACGTTTCAAATTAACTAAAGTAAAATAGATTAATAGAAATGAATAACAAAAATGAAAACGCGTTATCCTGGAATATTACGTGAATGTGTTTAAAAAAGAAACCAAATTTAAAATTATAGAAAAAATAGCCCAAGTCACGCGAAAACTGCCAACGCTCACAATCCAGACGTATGATTTAAATGATAATGATATCTGGGAGTATGTACATCAATGCCCAGCTGTAAACTCATATTGTAAATAGTACGCCGTTTGATATGTCTTGAGGAGTCTCTTGTCTCGAGGAGTCAAAGATTTTGAATAATTACTTCAAATATTTTCAAGGAAGTGTTGTGAATTGTTCCTAGAAATGTCTCGATAATTCTGAATAAATCATATACATTTTTTTTTCAATATCAATTACATTTTTTAAAATTTTTAAACTGTGCTAGTACATTGGAAGATTAAGGTGTCAGTTTGCCTAGATATTCAACACGTAGACATCGGTGAGTAACTTTCCCATGAACCAGACTGAAGTCTCAGAGTACTGAATAGTTTTTAGTGGTAAGAATCTTCTAGTGGTATTTAGTTTTCTAGTCGTGTTTATTACACAAAGGTGATACTATTAGTTTTATTATTTTTGGGATCGGAATTGCTTTTCTTGAGGTATGTAAGGACACCGGAAATTATCTAATAGTTTTCAGTATACAAGTAATTTTTCAAATTTTGCATCCCAGCAAGCTGGCGCCCTGCCCCTTCAAAATTCCCTCTTTTCATCATAGAATATTCCGAAAAGTTAAAGAATATTGCAAAGAGTAGGTTTGTACTTGCCCGATCAAGTATTTTCTCTTGGAAAACTTTACTTGCCTCTCTCAAGAGTAAAAAAGTTTTTCCAACATGTTTGTGACTATCAAAGTGAGCGAAAATCTAACTGGCAAAGAAGATTGTATAATTACTTCAATTTTTTTAAAAGAAGTGTGAAGTGTTGAAGAACATACCTTTATAATACTTAAGAAACCCTTATGGAACATTTGTTTCAAATGCATTGTCTTTATTTTCTTTGATATTCTGTACGAACATTTAAACATTTTTTAAACTAATGAGGAAGTTTCATTAATAACTTCCATTCTTAGTGGAAAGGATATGAAAATTGATAAGGAACGGGTGGGCATTATCATACGAGAGTTCTCGCACGGATACGTTAGTATTTTCTACTTTTAGTGGTGTTCTCTAGGATAGTTTGTCGAATAATGTCTATTTCTTTCTCTGACGCATAACAAAATCTTTTATCATTTCACTTAGATAACGACTGTGTGCATTAGACAGTGGATAATCGTCCTTTATTGCACATCGGCATAGGGATCGATACCTGCTGGCTTCTAAGGCAGATGAATCGCAGCTTAGGTACTAAGGGGAAGGTGGTAATAAAAATGCATGAAGAAAACTGATAATTACTTTGTGAATCACTGCCGTAATCATAATACTGTATGCATTATTAAACATTATTTCACTTATTTTCATGAGTGGAATAGTCCTCGGTACATCACTCCATTCATCATATTGCGAACGAGCTCACGCTCACGCTCTCGCCGAGAAACATCATAAATAATTAATCCGCCGCCCCACGCAGCGCACGCACAGCGCCAGGTGGGAGTGGGGTGGGGGTGGCGTTGTGGGGGCTGCCAGCGGCGCCCTAACGGCAGGGGCAGTGCAGATGCAGGGGCGGCGTCCAGAATAGCTAGCGCCGTCCGCGCTCCCCTCCGCGCCGGCGGCCGTGTTGACATTCGCCCCCCCCCCCCCCGCCCGGGCTGACATTTCCCCTAAAGGTCGGCGGCGCGCAAAGCAGCGCCCGCGCTCCAAAGGACGTGTGAAAGGCCCGCCCCCTCCACCGCGGCACCGTTGCGTGGTGCACTACGCGGAATTCAGCTGCTGCGCTCGGCGGCAGTTTTCCGTGGTGTCTCTCATCAAGTCCAGGCGCATGCAGGAGCAGTGCGCACCCTTCCATCCACAGTTACACTTCCATACACTGCACTGCCACGCATGTCAGGAGACCAGTCGGGAGTTTATAGCTTCTTCCATCTTGGGAAAGACCTGAAAGGAGAAATCCCCCCAGCCGACTTCACTCTTGGGCCTTCGTGGGAATTCAATATCCAAAGGGCGGGGTGGGCGGACACAGACATTCTTTTGTCACGGAATACCTCCAGTGATAAAAGAATTTACTATACGAACGAGACTAATGACTATAACAGTAGATGTGTACCGAAACATCAGTTGTTCAAGCGTCTATCGTCCCATTCCCCTGTCCTTTCCTCATGCTTCGTGCAACCCCTCCCCCGTCAGTGCCCATGTCCCTCGTTACCAACTACTCGCACCAACAGCCCGGCTCGCACCTCCCAATCCTCTCCCCTTTATCCTACTTTCCTTATTCCATCACTCACGGCTTCCACCGCACATCTCCCCTCCTCTCCGCCTCGTTGCCTCCCCAACACCCCCTCCACCACAGTCCTTCGCCCTCACGCACCTCTCTCCATCACCCTCTCCGCCTGCGCGCCCTCCCGCCATCTCCTCCCTCTGTTCTACGCTTCTTCGCCCCTCTCCCTCATCGCCCCTCACTTTGCACCGTTCCCCAGGCGTCCACGGCCTTTGCCTTCCTCCCCTCCCCCGCAGCGAAAGGCACAGCAGGGGGGGGGGGCGCCGGAAGCTCAGTTTGTTTTGCGCCAAAGCCGCGTCGGGGATTGGGCAACGTTCGAAATAGCTCCGCTTTGCAACTTGCTATTCGCGACGTGCAGATGGATCCACGCTTTCTGGAGCCGACGACTGCATCCGGCAGCATGTTGATGCTTGAAGCAGCAGAGCTCTCTATGAGCGAGGCACTGAAGCGGTAAGTACTGAAGCAGATTCGTGAACTATCGAACTTGCGCAGTTCACACTAGCCCTACGGCGCAATACATATATTGATTCTTTTAATTTTTGTTCAACTACTTAGAACCAAAAGTGTTATTACAAATATTGTAAATAAAAACATTCGAATTTTCTATTGAAATCATTATTATTTAGGTTATTTAATGAAACATTTGCTTAAAATGACTGGGCGAGGGACGAGAAAAAATGTCTCGTCTTAGCTTTTTAAAATGCAAAATTTAGATATTGTGAATATTTGCAGGAAATACACAGGTACTAATTTTTCAAATGTTTCATAAATATCAGTAGTATAATAGAGTATTCAACAACGATGCCGTAGCAACGTTAAATAGCACAGAGGTCGAGTACGGAAGGTGGTCAATCCACCCGTACTCGTAGTTGCAATTGAGGATTATGCGTCTTCATAAAATAGACGAAATTCAATATTTTTTATTTAAATTAAACCCAACTGTTTATTTCGAATCTACAATTGTTTTAATATTCATTTCATTTTAAATATTGAATTTATTTCAATATCTATTTCACCCAAGTGCAATATTTTCAAAAATGTCGGGGTGCGGGGACAGTTTCTTGCACAGTTTAGATAAAACGCTAGAAATTTGTATTTTATTTGCCTTCGAACATAAAACGTAAAGTTTAAAACATTGAAAAATTCTTGTAAAGTAACTTCCTTATCAATATTATTCCTATGTAAATATCGTGGTCCAAGATCTGTGTGAAGGGGAGAAGATATTGGCAGTCGAGAGATAGAAAAAATGTCATATCACCTTTCTCAAGGCTAATATGCCAGTTTTACAATTTTTGCACTCTTCGGATTCACAATTTGCCATTAGCACCAATTTTAAACATTCTTGTATCGGCAGCAGCAGAATATTCCTGACCACTCAGTTGATCCAGTTCGAATTCAAAATCTTTTAATTTGTCACACACACACACACACACACACACATTCTTCAACACATTCCGAAAAACATCATTGTAAAAACGTTTGTTTCACCTCGGGAACCCTCAAAATAGATTTTATCATCAAAATCTCGATTTTTAAGTGTTACCAAATTCGATACGTTTCCTCTACGTATACCAGCAAAAAAGTGTATTATACTGAAAGAAGTGTGTTAAATAGTTTATATCAACTTCAAACACAACGTATTTATAATTATTTCATAATATACATCTAGAAAAATAATGTAATTATCACTTGAAGAAATAACTCTTCATCTGTGTCGAATCTTTTTCTATAATTAAATTTTTTAAGTAACTTTCACAATGTTGAAACAGTTGACTAAGATACTTGTTTCTTTTGTTTCATGACAAGATTTGGTCAGACGGACTGACAAACGAACTAGGAAGTTACTGGATTACTAACGTTTACAATATCATTGCATCGTCGAAATTTTTAAAAAATTTAATTTTTAGGTCTTTGAACCGAAATAAAACTTTACTTCAATTATGTTCAGAATTATTCGGCAAGATTCAGTTAGATACCAATGAGACATCAATTTACTTATTTAAGAGCGAGAGTAGAATCTAAATTCTCCACTCTATTTTAACGTCCTTTCCAGTGTTTAATATCCGCGAAGATAATTTGTTTTTTTTTTAATGGTTCGTTACAATGGACCTAAACGAGTATTTGTGTAGTACATGAATAATAAAAATTAATTAAGGTTGACATCACATAAAACTAATTTTTTGACGACCGGGAGTTGACATTGGTTTCGAAATTATCAAATACAGGACAGACATGAAACTTTCTCTCTAGGGGGAGGGTGATAATTAATATTTTCTCCCGGTGTACAAATAAAACAAATGAGAGCGTGAACAATACTCTTCAATGCTGCCATGTCCATTATCAATCGCTCAGTTGCTTATTGACGTTACTATAGTATTTCTATAACAAAATAAATATTATTGACAAATCAGGAGGCTTAGAATTCATTGGTTTAATATTTTTTATGTTATTCTCATAAAATATTGCAGACGTGGGAGATATCATAAACACGTCAGAATATAATTACGTATTTTCTTCTGTCATTGTATTTTTTGCCCGTAGTCCTCGGTTATCAAACGTAAACCTCAGGAAATATCTAGTATTTCTTTCCTTAGATTAATCTATAATTAATCTGAAAATGTGTCACAAAATCTACTCGAATATACCAATCAGAAATAATTTTTCTTAGGATAGAAAAATTGACAAAGATCGTGATTCTGTGACAAATATTCGTATTTTTGAGTTGTCAAAATGGTCACGCGCTTCTTATGCATAAATTGATCGGTAAACATAGAAGGCCTTGCACAATTACACACAGTGCATTACTGTAAAAAATGTATAGGGACAATAGGCTTCAATGAAAGCTTATTTTCCCTTACGCAGACTGGCAATTATATGATGAGACTGATATTTTTTGACAAAATTTTAAATGTTAACTGTAAACCAAACAATGCATTCTATACAATCCTTTCTCTACAGTCTGGCAACGCCACATTGTGCATAGAGCATCACGGGAAATACATTTCAAGCAGTCGCATTGAGATACCCTCCTGGAGCAGAGATCAATCAAGGAGTTTGAAACTTAATACAAGTTCCACAGGATCTGTTCATTTGATGCGGAGAGTGTATGGGGTTATTTGTGTCTAGATTAGATATTTATTCTTTACCCACGATGACGAAGTGGTCATAACCATTTTCACGTAGGTAGACAGTCGCTGATTGGCTGCAAGTCCGCGATACACATTCTACCTGAGACATTTTTAAGGACACACATAATAAAATAGTTCCCCAGTGACCCCTCCCGCATATGTATTTGTTAACATTAACTACACAGGTGCACAAAATAGAAGGTTTTCTGACCCGAAGACTTAATATATGCATCTCTATGTATGTCGACGCGCTGAATCCGAATGTGAAGCCAGAATTACGCCACCATTTCCAGTTTTTTTATTCGTGAAGATCCACCGTGAAATTGTAAAATGTAAATTGCATTGTTTTTTCGTAATTAAAAAAATGCTGCATGGTGTTGGCGTAATTCTGGCTTCGAATGCGGATTCAGCGCCTCGACATTCATAAAGAAACAAGTGTCAAGACTTTAGGTCTTTTTGATTTTACTAATTTAAAACTTTTTTATTTTGTGTGCCTGTGTTATTGCTTCGGGACGGACGAAAATCATTATATTACATAACATTGAATAAAATATTGTTTTAGAATGTTAAAACCGTCTTCTCCAAAAATGTTATCTTTAGAATAATGGAAGTGGAATTACAGTATTGTTATGAAATAATCACATTCATATTTTTATCGAATTATAAAGATTTAAATAATTATTATCGTGCGAAACGTTTCCCCTACTTCCGTCATTGGAAAACTGTACGCCATCATTGTACAACAGAACAGATTCCGGTGCCGTCACAGAGCATTGAGTTAGCAAGCCCTGGTTTAGAGAATCGGGGCGCGTCAACGGCTGTTATTAGTCCCCTAAGTGCAGTGCATGTTTTCATCGAGGGAGAATGGTCAAGTGGTGATCTCCCGTTGGATGGCGAGATACGGAGACGACCTACGCCTGTTTACGGGGTTTCCCCAGCCAGGTGTCTCACCCGGCAGGGCACCAGCCCAGCCGGGTGAGACACCAAGCCTCCGACTGGCGTCCAGACAAGTGACATAGTGCCTCTCGGTGTAAGTAAGAGGTGAGGATAGGACAAGGAAGAGGAAGGAAAGATCGCGCTCGGTCCGTGACCCGTTTCTTAAGATACAGCTCTGGTATTCGCCTGGACTTCTTAGGCGAAATCACGGAAAAGCATCAGAGCAGCCGGCAGAAGGAATTCTCCTTCAGACAGCCTAGTTGTATACTTATTTTCGAAAATACTGCCACCGGACTCGATCCCAGGACTTTCCGATCAGAAGCACTGCCGGGGGAGTAGTAAGATGCTCTGATCCACCTTTTGTGGGTCCGAAGCGGCGGTACATCACTGAATTCTTGGCCCATGACAGTGTTTTGGAGGAGTCAGTCGCCAGTTATTGCCACAAAGAGTATGGCCAGATAAAGCGGTAAAAAGTGTGCCCAAACCAAATCGACATTCGCTATGATCATGTGAAAGAGAATACAAAATGACGTAGATTCGAAAGAAAAAAAAAACTTCTAGGGCAATCTGTTGCAGAGATACGAGAAACACGTTTTTATTTTTTATTTTTTATCTGGTTCTATTACATGTATCAGGCTGAAAAATATTACAGAGATGGGGGAAAAATAGTTACATTTAAATGTATTTTTGTCAATAAATTTAGGCGCCAAATTCAAATATAAAAAATAAATACAAAATAGAAATTGATTTTAGACATGATAATATTGCAGCACTGTCTCAGTTTTTCTCCCTAGAATGTGTCTTATAGCATTCAATGACATATATTTTTTAAGATATTTAAACAATGTGGCCGCTAGTGGAAGGCAATTAAAACAAATTTTTCAGTTTTTCATGTTACATGGGATAACAATTATATACACATTACAAAGTTTGCAAACATACAAATTGTTCATTCTTAGTAATTTATGAAAGTGACAGTATTCTGAATGTGAATGTGTAAATTAAGAATAATCAAAAATGTTATATGAATAGAAATTCAAACTATCAAAGAAAGGAAATTTCATATTTTCTTAGATCAAGCCCCAATTTCAAATTCCATCTATGCAGTTCTAAATATGTTATTCTGAAATAAAGTTTACTCTGCATATGCTTACCGCAAAAACGCAAATTGAACAATGAAAATTCCAGAAAAGTTATACGCCCGTCACAAAATACTTAACAGCCTCCCAAAAATACAATGAAAAAGGTTTTGTAATATATATACGAAACGGTAATCCAAAATATTAGAAAATCTAATTTAAATAGTGACAACCAAATCTAAACTGGTTTCTTGCCTTAAATTTTGTTCAAATTTTCTGTTCTGAAGAAGCGCCATCAAACATTTTGAAAAAAAACTTTTGACATCGTGTGTTGGGTACACATTTGCATTTTAACAAGTTCATTCTAAATACATATTTCTTGAAGATGCGATTACAGTGAATGTATTCTTAATCATATTCTCATTTTATAATTTACTTATTATAAAGAAGAAAATAACTTGATTCCTTAAAATTAGTCATCGAAGCCATCAGTTCTCTATCCCGGCCTAAACTATGAAAGTTTAAGCTGTACATTAAATAATAATTTCTACTAAAAAATAAATATCATTTGTACCAAAAATTGAAAAATGTGTAATAAACACGACAAAATGTCCCATATTTCTAGAATTTACAAAATATGCATTATATGTAAAATGAGATATCAACTACACAAAATATGCAATTACATGAACGTTCGTAATTTTCCAAATAACAATTATATACTGTAGGTATATATATATATATATATATATATATATATATATATATAT